CTGTGTTTCCGCTAGAGCTGACTAGACACCCTGGTGGGGAGTGTCCTCGGGCCTCGTAAACGACAGTCACCGCCAGGTGACTCTGTGAGACTGTGTCCACTGATGAGTTATGTTCGGAGAACTCCGGTGTAGCACCAACAGTTGCATGAAGCTGGGGGCCCTGCGAAGGTGACTCTGAGATTGCGCTTCCTGAGGCCGAGCCAGAGAAGGCGTGTGTACCTGTCAGCCGTCCCCAGCTGGGGCCCTGCTGTCTGCGGTCGGGCCGTCGGAGCAGAGGACAGACGAGCAGATGACGGCGGTGGTCCCCGGGACGCTCCCCCACACACACCCCAGACACCCCCAGACTCAAATGAGGAGTCTGAAAGCAGCCGAGCAGGAGGGGCCTTCGGGTTCCCGGGCGGCAGGCTGTGCCGAGGCTCGGCTGCCCTAGGAGCCGTGGAAGGAGGAGCACCCCCGCCAGAGCCCATCTGGACTAACCTGCGCTGAGCAGGGGAGGGTCATGGGAGCTCAGACGAGGCTGAGGTGAGCTGGAGCCCAGGCGACCTCATGAACCGGTGCTCTTGGCCCAAGTCCTAGCATCGGAAGCTGTGGGGTACTCCAGGATGGAAACACGGACACCTTTGCCAGTAGGGCCTTCCCATGTTCCTTGCTGTGGGCAACTGTTGGGTGCGGTAGTGTTCCTGCTCAGGATGGATAAAGATTATAGGGGTGCAGCAGCTAGGACTAGCCCCAGGCCTTCTACCCACTTTTTTGGAGTCATTTTTAGGATGCAGCTCTTTAGCCACAGCTTCCTGTGTGGGCCCATGCCACCCAGGTCCTGAGCTGTTCTAACCTGGGCCAGGCAAATCAGGCAGGAGTCCCCCAGCCTTGCGGACTCTCAGTCATTGTGTGTCTGCTCTGAGAAGCCGATGTTTTTGCCCAGGCATAGCTAAAGCCTGCTCGGCACTCTAGTGTCCTTTGCAAGGAGTTGAGTTCCTGCCTGGCTCTTGCCAGACCTCTTGTGGCAGATATTGCTGCAGTTGTCTTATAGCCCTTCTCGGGCAAATAAGTGTCTGCAGGTCTACATCTGGCATCATTGGGAGTCCCCTGCCATAACCAAGGGAGGACATCTGTGAGGCCAGCTTCAGACAGTGGTTGCAGGGCTTGAGAAAAGGAGTGGATTCCAGAGATGTTTATGAGATGGAAGAACCCAGACTTGTGTATGATATGGGCTTGGGAGTTAAAGGAGAGAAAAGAAGTAAAAAATATTCAGGAAGGTTTTTTTCCACACTGTCTGGTTTTGTGTGCTTGTGTTTACTTTTTTTCTTTCTTTCTTTTTTTAACTACCCATTATGTTTTGGTCAGTTTCCTTTTGTCCTTTTTATTTTAAAATTTTCAAAGAACTACTTATTTTAAACTATTTTATTTTAAGATTTGTAAAAAAATTTGCAAAGATAGTACAGAATTTCTTTATGCCCCTCACCCAGTTTCCCACTATTAACATCATCCATTAATATGGTACACTTATTACAATTAATGAGCTAATATTGATGCATTATTTATTATTAACTAACGTCATACTTTACTCAGATGTCTGCCGTGTTTACCTAGAGTCTGTTTTCTGTTCCAGGATCCCAGCCAACATGTCGCGTTACATTATTTGTAATACTTCCTTGGCTGTGGTGGTTTCTTTGTTTTTGATGAGCTTGACTGGGGAAAGAGTGATTAGATATTTCGTACATTGTCCCTCAGTCGGGATTTTTTATGATGTTGTACTCTATGATTAGTCTGGAGTTATGTGTTTTGGGAAAGAAGACCATGGCGGTAAAGTCAGGACATCATATCAACAGCACATACTATTAGCGCGATTTATCACTGATGATGTTTACCTTGATCACCTGGCTGAGTTAATGCCCATTAGGTGTCTCCACTGTAAAGTTACTGTTTTTGGCCCCCTGTCCATACTGTCCTCCTCGGAAGAAAGTCACCATGTGTGGCCCATACTTCCGGGCCACTTGAAGTGGAAGTATCCGCATAAACTGAAATTTTTCTCCATTGGAGATTTGTCTATTCTCCCGTGTTTATGTGTTTAATCAGTCAATTATTTTTCTCAGTATAGACACATGGGTGTCTACATTACACTTTGGGTTAAAATCCAACACAACTTTATATATTTCTATTGCTTAAATTGTTCCAGGTTTGGCCACCAGGAGCTCTTCCTGTTCGCCCCCTCTGTATATTACCTTTGTCATAGCCCTGGAAATGTTTTTGTTTGTTTTTTAAGCACTTCTTTATTTTCAGGCATTGTAAGATGCTTCAGGCTTATCTTGCATATTTCCTGCCCCAGTTCTAGAATCAGTGATTTCTCAGTGGAGCACTTGTTCCTTTTCCTGTAAAATAGTATGAGAAACCTAGATCTGTGCACTAAGTATGCTCATTGCGACTGAGGTGTCATTGCTTCTAGGGTTCCTTGGTTGACAGAGGAAGGAATTACATGTGTGCTCACTACCGTGTGTGTATTCATATATCTACAAATATTTTTCGATGTAATCATCAATGTCTATATTAAGCTAAGTAAGGGTTTTTACTGATGTCTATGGCTCTAATCCACCACCACATAGATCATTATAGCCTCCTCCTCTACAGTGAAAAACCTGGAGATTTATAAGTTGTTTATATGTCAGCGTCCTATTGTCTCTGCTGGGTAGCCCCCAAGGCCTGGTTATCTCTGGAGGAACTGCTAAAATAGAATTTGTGGGCCTGCAAAGCAGCAGTTCAGCTCCAGAACCCCCTAGAACCTCACCAAAGTTATACCTGCCTTGGAGGCTCTGGACTCTAAGAAGCCTACCTGGCCCCTGTCTATGAAGCTCTCGAAAGGTCGGGATTATCTGTTATTCGAGTGTCTGAACTGATGAACAAACTGACTCTTGATGCTTCTGGGGGTTGAGACCACCTATAGCTGAGTTTGGTCTTTCTAATCTGTCTGGAAAGTACTTCTTTCTTATCAGAACATGAGCTACAGAGTAAGCAAGACCCCAAGATGAGTTTTTGTTTCCTCACCTTTAATTAAGCTATGTGGCTCAGGGCATGTTATATAAGATTTTTTGTGCCTCAGTTCTTTTTCTCAATTCTGTATTTGAATATTCACTAGGAAGCTCCTCAAGGCTGGAAACTGGACTCCACCCAGAGGGTGGTCAGGATAGCTGGATGAAAAACAGAGCCCCTCAGATTCAACAGCTGATAAACTTGCTATATGTTACTCATCCTTAAAACAAACTTATATAATAATACACATTCCCCAGTGAGTGTTGGAAAGCCTAATTAGAAATGTGAAATGTTTTCAAGTTCTCAGATTAAAGGTGATACATCATGGGAAATCATGAGTTGATACTTTGATCAATTATGATCAGTCAGTTAATAATGATACTCTCAAGCTGTGCCTAAAATAAACAGCATAAAATTGCCTGTTGTGAAACTCTGCTATTGTGTAAAGTATGACTGTTTTCCATAATAATACTAAATGAATGTTGAAGGTATTGCTGTTTTCACAAGAACTCTCAAACTGGCTGGAAACGAGGACAGTATACTAGGTCACCCTCTGTGGTGTGGGGTAGTGTGGTGTGGTCCAACACATACAAAAAGAACACCTGCAAAGATTGGGATTTTAATTTTGGTTCCAAACATTTAAGGAAATTTCTGCCAAAGGTGATCACTAAGAAAAGCTGTTTCTTTGAAAAGATCAACCATATTGATAAACCTTTAGTAAGACCAAGAGAAAAAAGAAGAGTCAATTACTAAAATAAAAAGTAGAAGTGGGAATAGTATTACAGATGTGAAAGAAATAAAAAGGATTGTTAGAGAATACTCTGAACAGTTATGCTTCAAGAAATTATATAACCTAAATGAAATGGATAAATTTTTAAAAACATAAACAACCAAAATTGACTCAAGAAAAAAATAAAATTCAAACAGACCTAACAGGTAAGGAGAATGAATCAGTCACCAAAAATTCCACAAGAAAGAACATCCCAAGACCAGGTGACTTCACTGGTGAATTCCACCAGTAGTTGAAAGAACTTATACAAATCTTCAATTTCTCCCCAAAATGTAGAAGAGGAGCGAATACTTCCTATCTCATTCTGTGAGGTCAGAATTACCCAGGTAGTAAACCCAGACAAAGACATCAAAAGATAATAAACTATCCAACATTCTTTCATGATATAAAAACGTTCAACAAACTAGAAATAGAAGAAAACTTTCTTAACATGATAAAGGCATTCTTGCAAAACCCACATGTAACATACTCAATGGTCAAAGACTGAAATTTTCCCATTAAGCCAAGAAATAAAAAATAAGCCAAGGGGTGCCCGGGTGGCTCAGTCAGTTAAGCATCTGGCTCTTGATTTCTACTCAGGTCATGCTCTTTAGGCTGTGAGATCAAGCCCCAAGTTGGGCACCATGCTCAGTGGGGAGTCTGCTTGAGATTCTCTCTCCCTCTCCCGTTGTCCCTTCTCCCTCTCTCTAAAATAAATAATAAATAAACCTTTTTTTAAAAAAAATCGAACAGTTCCTGCTTTTGCCACTTTTATTTTATTGTACTGGAAGTGCTAGCCAGAGTGATTAGGCAAAAATAAAAACATACAAAGTGGAAAAAGAAAAAGTAAAAAAGAAAGTAAAAGGAGAAGAAAGTACTTAAAAATAAGTTTATGTAAGGAAGTACAAGACTTGTACACTAAAAACTACAAAACAGGGGCGCCTGGGTGGCTTAGTAGGTTAAGCGGCTACCTTTGGCTCAGGTCATGATCCCAGGTCCTGGGATGGAGCCCCATGTTGGGCTCCTTGCTCAGCGGGGAGTCTGCTGCTCCCTCTCCCTCTGCCCCTCCCCCTGCTTGTGTGCTCTCTCAAGCTCTCCCTCTCTCTCAAATAAATTAACAAAAATTAAAAAAATAAAAACTACAAATCATTGCTCAAAGAAATTAAAGAAGACTTCGGCATATGGAAAGACATTTTGCATTCATGGATTTGAAGACTTCGTTTGTTAAGATAGCAATCCTACCAAAGCAATTTACAGATTCAATACCATCTCTATAAGAAATCCCAACAACCCTTTTTGAAGAAATGGAAAAGCTGATTCTAAAGTGTATATGGAGTGCAGGTGCCCCTTTGGATCACTACGTTTGTATCCTTTGGGTAAATACCTAGTAGGAAAGAGCCCAGATGGCCGTCGACAGATGAATGGATAAAGAAGATGTGGGGTATATATATACAATGGAATATTACTCAGCCATCAAAAAGATGAAATCTTACCATTTGCAATGATGTGGATGGAACTAAAGGGTATTCTGCAAAGTGAAATAAGTCAATCAGAGAAAGACAATTACCATATGATTTCACTCATGTGGAACTTAAGAAACAAAACAGAGGATCATAGGGGAAGAAAGGGATAAATAAGACAAAATCTGAGAGGGAGACAAACCATAAGAGACCCTTAAGTATAGGAAACAAAC